TATATATTAATATAAAATTTGTTATTTCAATATTATATAATAATATTTACTATATATGCATATAACTTATAAGTTGAGCTTATTAGGGGTTATTTAGCTTGGGCCCTATCCGCTAAAGCCATCATTGGATTCCAAAAGTTTGATACCCAATTAGACTTCAAATCTGATTATCCCCGATAATGTGTGGGCATGGTGCATATCTCAACTAGACTTAACTCAAAAGGATTATCTCCAACAATGTGTGGGCATGGTGCACATATATATATATTTGAAGCCAAAAGGCACAATCGACACACCAATCATTAATAATTACATCTAATCCAAAATATAGACCTCACAAAATCCATAATATGGAGAGAAAGACAAGAGAGATAGGGGTGTAAACATATCGAATTTGGAAATATTCAAATTTGAATTCAATTATAAATTTTGATATTCGATTTTGATTCGATATCTAGTGGATATTAAAAATTAATATTCGAATTTGAATTTGATTAAATATTCGAACATTCGATTCGATTCGAATTCGACCATTTAATTATTTTAGGTAATTAATAAATATAAAATAAATATTTTATTTTTATAAGGTATATAGATATATAAATTATTTATATAATTTAATTATGGGTAAATTACAAAGACCTCCCTTGTACTATGGGGTCAGTGACAAAATCCCCCTGTACTTTTCTTTGCGACAAAGACACCCTGAACTTTAGCTGTTAGACAAAGACCCCCCTTGGCCATTAAGTTAGATGACGGAAAGCGTTAAATTACCAAAATACCCCACTAAACTTTTTCTATTTTATTTTTCTTGCCCTTTTTTCTCTTAAAACCTATTTAACCTATTGTTTTCCTTCTTTTTGACTTTCACTTCACATACCATGATTATGGCCTTGATGTTTTCCTCCTAACTGAAGCTACCTGGACTGAAGTTGGATTCCTCCCTCATCCTCTGCTTTTGTCGCAAGAAAAACACTGACAGGAAAAAAAGAATTGAAAAAGAGGGAAAGAGTGTTGGGGCCTCACAACAACCATCCACAGTATAAAATCACAAGGTATTTAAAATAATAGCCACGAGAAATCTAATAGTAGCAAAAAGGGCAAAATCCAAGCAAAGACAAATAAAACAAGCACTACAAAGAACACAAAGAATTACATGGTTTGGCCTTATCGCCTACGTCCACGGGAGAAACGAAATCTATTATTCAGCATGAAATGAAAATTGAGAGCAATACAAGTACCTTGCAGCTTGCAGCCCAAACCAACCCTTACCCTTGTACACTCATTCTCCCTTTCCTTTCAACTCGAAGAACAAAAACAAGAGAAAAAAAACCACTCTCACACCAAGAGCACTCTGTATTTTTCTCCCCAAAAAGCCTTAACCCTATATACAAAAGAAAGCTTTTATATGTAAAACCTCTTTAACCTAAAGAGGGACCACACCAACTGTTAGATTAAAATTAATCCAACGGTTGTAAAATAAGATACAATCCCAACAATCTCTACCTTGGCTTATTTTTCAACCACCTTAGAGATATATTATTTGTGCCTCTACCTGTTTGCAAATACCGCAAACCTTTATTGGCCTTGTAAAACATCACGCTACACATAACTTGAATCATTCGGTCCTGACTCCACTTGATTCAAACAAGATGGCCAATGTACCTGTGTAACTGTATAAAAGCTAACAATCCTAGTTAACTTCAAAGAGGGATCTCGATCATTCCTCTCTTCCAACAGGAATCTTCCTTTCACTATCATCTATACCTTGGAAACTTGCAGCACTTGTCTCCATTCTATCCGCAAAAGAGACTCTCCGTGTGGCCATACTACCTTGCGCATTCCATTTCCATTATTTCGTCGAGGTCTTGGGAACCACTATACTCCCAACCAGATGATACAAACCCTTTGCGTTTTTCTCTCTTCATCGGGACCATACTGCCACGTGTGATTTTCATGGCTTCACCTGCAGCAAAAACCTTGCATCCCTTGGAGTCTAATTGGCCAAGTGATATTAGATTCGTGCACATTTTTGGGATATACGCCACACCACCCAAAGTGTGAACCATTCCATCAAACATTTTGATTTGCATTGTGCCAACACCTATGATGTTACATGTAAATTCACCACCCAAGGAAACAACACCTATCTTCATCTCTTGGAATGTGTCAGAATATTCCTTCATGGAGCAAATATGCATAGAATATCCAGAATCTAAAACCCACTCATTTGGAGAAAAATTACACATACCTTTGAAAACTGTGATAACGTCTCCATCATCATCAAATGCAATTGCCACGCTTTCGGATTCATCACCACTCCTTTTTCGTGCAGGACAATCTCTCTTCATGTGACCAAATTCCTTGCATTTGTAACACTGTATTTTGCCCTTTTCCCTGGCCTTGGATTTAGACCTGCTGCTCTCAGATCCCCTGTCAGACAACCTTCCTTTTTGATCCGTTCCCACCGTGACCAACGCAGAGTTTTGCCCATTCTCATACTTGGGCTTCCTCCTTACCTTATTGGATAAAAGAGATGTAATAACTTTTTCCAGCTTCACTGTATCTTTCCCATACAACAATGTTGTCACCAAGTTTTCATATGAATCAAGAAGTGAGGTAAGAAGCAAAAGGGCCTTGTCTTCTTCCTCCACCTTGACATTAGTTGATCTAAGATACTATTGAACACATTTACGTGTTCCAAGAGATTCCCACCTTCTTCTATCTTCAGCCTGTACAATTGTCGTTTCAGATATAGTTTTGTCATTAAGCTTTTATCCAAATAAAGCTTCTCCAGCTTATCCCACAATTCGGGTGCAGAATCTTCCTTCCATAACGTTATCAACTATGAGCAATCGAATCGTACTAATACACATTGACTCGATATCCTCCCAATCAGCATCATTCATGTCTTTTGGCTTCCCATCCTTTCCCTTCAATGCTCTAGCCAAGCCTTGTTGAACCAGGATGTCCTTTACCCTTCTTTTCCATAGGGTAAAACTGTCTTTTCCATTAAACCTTTCAATCTGGAATACAGAACTTGTACCTTTTGTTGTCATTATCTCTCAAGCAAATTACAAACACCTTGTAAAAACTAACATGGGAGCTATGGTACCACTTTGTTGGGGCCTCACAACAACCACCCACAGTATAAAATCACAAGATATTTAAAATAACAGCCATGAGAAATCTAATAGCAGCAAAAATGACGAAATCCAAGCAAAGACAAATAAAACAAGTACTATAAAGAACACAAAGATTTATGTGATTTGGCCTTACCGCCTACGTCCACGGGAGAAACGAAATCTATTCTTCACTATGAAAGAAAAATTGAGAGCAATACAAGTACCTTGCAGCTTGTAGCCCAAACCAGCCCTTACCCTTGTACACTCGTTCTCCCTTTCCTCTCAACTTGAAGAACAAAAACAAGAGAAAAAACCCACTCTCACACCAAGAGCACTTTGTATTTTTCTCCCCAAAAAGCCTTAACCTTACATACAAAATAAAGC